CTCCCCAACCTCTCTCTCTCTCTCTCTCTCTCTCTCTCTCTCTCTCTCTCTCTCTCTCTCCAGTGAAGCAAGGGGCCGTCACCTCCTTCACACACTAATAAAGTGAAGGTGACGTATTTCATATCTCAACACTGTCAGTTTTATGGTCAGTCTTGATTTATTATTATCTGACTGTGAACAAAAACCTTCAATTGTCAGAGAGTAAAAAAATTGGAATCTTTTTATTTATTATCATTATTTATTCTTTTTGGGGGGGAGGGGGGCCACGTAGGTTGAATATTTTTTTTAGCCTTGTATGTATGTATGTATGTATGTATGTATGTATGTATGTAAAATTCTTGGTAAGTGTGTGTGTGTGTGTGTGTGTATACATATATAAACATAAATATACACGTTTCAAACTACTTATATAACTGTATCATCGTCCCGTAAACTAATTCACAGAAGAATATCACACAACATAGTGCCACCCAGGAGTCGTCTCTATCCTAAGTGTGGAGGGAGAGAGAGAGAGAGAGAGAGAGAGAGAGAGAGAGAGAGAGAGAGAGAGAGAGAGAGAGAGAGAGAAGAGAGACTCGACCAAAACAAACATAATGTACAATAATCTGTGTTGGTTATACAATGAAAACTGCGCTCATAACTTCCAGACGGTTAAGGTTGACCTAGATTTGTGAAGTGGGTGGATCAGGGCGGTCAATACTACACCCAACCCACCCAGCCAGCCACTCACTCACTCGCCCACCCACCCACCCACCCACCCACACACACAGTGGGTGGTTCTGTAGGGCGGTCAATAGTATAACCACCCATCCAACTACGCACGCACATACATACATACATACATACACACACACACACACACGTAACTACACCCAACCTTTCTGTGTGTGTGTGTGTGTGTGTGTGTGTGTGTGTGTGTGTGTGTGTGTGTGTGTGTGTGTGTGGCACTGATTAAAAAACAATGTAAACTTAAACTATGACATTTCTAACAGCGAACAGATTAATAATTGAAAAAAAAAATAATGTAAATACTATTGTTAATATATTGTGTGAGGGAGGAAGAGGGTGAATAATAAAGAGGAGAGGAAGGAAGAAAAGAGGTAGATGACAGATGGGAGAGGGTGAGGAATAAGGAAGGGAGAAAAAAACTAATGGAAAGCGTGAGAGAAGTAGAATGGAAATGGGAGAGGGAGGGAAGGAAGAAGGGGAATGGAGGGAGGGAAAGAAGTCTAATAATAATAATAATAATAATAATAATAATAATAATAATAATAATAATAATAATCACCAAGGTACATCAGGAAGCTCCAGTCATTAATAAAGATCAAATTAAATCTCAATTCAATTTTGTTTCACACGTTAAATAACTCTTGAGAACTGAAGTCAATAATACTGTCGTAACTAAACACCCCAATACCAGCCACAGCTATTAATGTGTTCCAGACGCAGCAATACACGTCACCACAACACTGTTCTTGGGGCGTAGTTTAAATAGAGTCGAGTAGAGTCCCTGATACCCTGACCATCCACCTCAACACAAACATATCCCAGGCATCCCTCTCCCTGTTACACGTCGCGGAACAAAGGGATCTAACTCAAACAAATCCCATAAAGCCGCCAAAGTCCACCAAAGTTTTGCTTCCCATAAACCAAGCCATCGACTCGGATCCCACGATTTGTCAGCCTCGATGACGTATAAATTTGATAATATAGGATCAGAGCCGCTTTAGAGGAGTTTTAAGAGAGGCTTGCGACACCCATTTGTTACCCTGGTGAGCGAGTCTCAACACTTCTTTCTCGGAACTTTCCTTGACACACAATTTAAAACACATCTTGTTTACTTTATGAGCGAGAGGCGACTTTTCAACTCCAACTAAGTCAGGCGGCGGGCAGCGGTCCTCAGCATTCCGCCGTTTTCCTTCCTATAACAGCGTACAATTTGAATTCACTCTTCTGGAAGGACGGAAAGTGGTTTTAAACTTTCAGTCAAGAGAATTTCACCCTTTAGAATTTTGTTAAATTTATTTAATACAGCTCAAACTCACACAACTTGGAGGAGAGTTTCGTCTTACACTGCAAATATTATTTCACCGGCATTTATTTGAACCACCACCAGCGGCTGAACACACCGGCACTTACCGCAGTATTTGAACACAGAGAACAGCACGAGGAAGAACAAACACAAAATATAACTTACTGTATAAAGCAACACTTGAACAAATCTCAACACACACACACACACTCGGCCACTCAGCCAACTGCCTCATGGTCAACATCACAACATCAGTCGTCAACATCTCGTCCTAAACATGCCTAAAGGACATTCCTTTACATGTGAGCCGCAACACAGACGCCTCACAGTAACACATCAAGCCCCACAAACACGCACTCACTCTCTTCCTAAAACTCCCATCCTCACAAAGTGGAAAGAGCTGCGGCAGCGATAGCCAGCGGTGGCGTCTCTCCGAGGGCCCGCTCAAGACCACTTCCCTTATATTACACACCAAACACATTTACCGTAAAAACCAGGAGTGAAGGTGCGGGGGACGTGGTAATGGTGGTGGTGGGGGGCTGCGCCACGCCAAGGCACACTCGGACCACTCCTCCTCCTCCTGGTCGTTGCCTACATCTTCAAAGAAAATATTTTAAGCCGAGTCTTTTACCAGTCGGTTTAAAAAAAGACTGAGAGGTTAAATCCTGGCGGTGTACAAGAGGCAGGGAGACATAGAGAGGCAGGAGGAGCCACCAAGTGAACGCCCAGAGGTTCAACACGGTGAAATCCCCAAAATCAATAGTGTACGTGGCGCTGCACAACCGCTCCTATATACCCGGCCTCCTGTTGGCTACTTCTTCGTTTCTTTTCCTCCTGTTATGATACGCTGCTGCTGCTGCTGTTGTCTTGATGGTGTTACTGCTGCTTGATGTTACTGCTACTTGATGTTACTTCTCCTGCTGCCCGGGTAATCCTCACTGGGGCTCCTACTCTTCTCCCTTTGTTATCACGGCAGTTGATGGTGCGGCTCACATGTGGCCCTCAAGGAGAACTGGAGGTAAATGCACGCCCTAGCAGTCGCCCACGTCCTAGCACTGACCCACGTCTTAGCACTGACCCACATCCTGTCACCCATGCCCTTGCTGACACTCACGTCCTGGCACTGACCCATGTCCTGTCACCCACGTCCCAGAACTGACCCACGTCCCAGAACTGACCCACGTCCTAGCACTGACCCACATCCTAGCACTGGCCCACGTCCTAGCACTGACCCACATCCTAGCGCTGGCCCACATCCTAGCACTGAGCCACATCCTAGCGCTGACCCACATCCTAGCACTGACCCACATCCTAGCTATCACCCACGTCCTAGTACTGACCCACGTCCTTATTTCAGCATTAAGAACTCTACCAACGGAAACAGCAACGGCATCAACAGTAAAAGAGCAGAACTGTAGCATAACAGCACATACAGCTATACAAAATGAAACAGTAGCAGGCGGTGGGGAGAGGAGAGAGAGGGTCAAGCAACACCAACAACCACCACCAACAGAGATGCTTTTATTAAGACTTTTCCAGCTTTTATTAAGACTTTTCCAGCTTTAATTAAGACTTTTCCAGCTTTAATTAAGACTTTTCCAGCTTTTATTAAGACTTTTCCAGCTTTAATTAAGACTTTTTCAGCTTTTATTAAGACTTTTCCCAGCTTTTATTAAGACTTTTCCAGCTTTTATTAAGACTTTTCCAGCTTTTATTAAGATTTTTCCAAACAACTACAGTAATTACAACAACACCATTAACAACAACAATAACAAACATTCATTCTCTTATGTCATACACTTAGGATTCTTAATAACCAGTATTTACCAGAGATTTTTATAACCCCTGAAATATCTTTAACCCATTGTAATTACGTCAGAAGATCATTAACTCCTAACTTCATCCATTACCTCTCGTGATTGGAAAAACACCTCATTAACTTACCTGTCCTCGAGTGATCCTAACTACTGTCACTCACAAGATCTTACTCGACCTCAAGAAACCGTCCTTTTGACAGTAAGATTCCCCCCGACTCATACACGACTTCCACCTGTCCAACCATTTACCTCTCACCCAACTCTGTCAGGTCCTAATACTTCTATAACCTATACCTGACACCCTTACCTGTCACTCTTACACCCTCATCAAAGTGTAAGTGGAAGCATTATAAGGTTAGGTTAGGCTAAGTTAGATTAGCGTTGGGGTGGGGTGGGGTGGATGGGATGGGATGGGATGGGATGGGATGGGGTGGTGGGGTGGGGTGGGGTGGGGTGGGGTGGGATGTGGATGGGGTGGGATGGGATGGGATGGGATGGGGTGGCTGGGATGGGGTGGGTTGGGGTGGGTGGGTTGGGTTGTTGGGGTGGGGTGGGTAAGGTGGGCTGGGGTGGGGTGGGGGTGGGGTGGGGTGGTTGGATGGGTGGGTGGTGTGGGATGGGGTGGGCTGGTGGGTTGGGTTGGGGTGGGGTGGGGATTGGGATGGAGGGGGGGGGGGTAACTTTTTCTCTTGACAGTTTGGTGAACTAATGTGACTGTATCATTGTTAACTATCGGTGCTTTAATCTGATAGTATTACTGGTAACTGGGTGAATCTAACTGTGTTTATCCTGCCGGTAACTTATCTAATCTGATTCTATATCTTAATGACTGTGGTCTATTTTTTTTTATTATTTTTTTACGGGGAATAGCCCACCTGGGCACAGGTCGAACAACCCACAACGGGGCCTAGCGGGGGGGGGGTGTACGAATAGAAAGAAATTGAAAATAAAAAAGAAAAAGGTTACCGGTATATTAATCTACATAACGAAGATGCTGGAAAACCAGCTTTTTGAAGTGAGACATTGTATGAGTATGAAAACACAAAAGAAGGCAGAGCATTCCACAGTTTGGCTGTGTGAGGAAAGAAGGATGTACTATAACGGGTTATTCTAGTGTGACCAACATCCACAGAAACGGTGGGCACCGCGGGCAAGACGTGTGTTACGAGCCCACGGCCTTGCCGGCGGTACACAGGATGCCAAATCCACCGAGCAATGCCCGTTAAAGTACCTGTAAAAGAGAGAGAGTGAAGCAACATTGCGGCGAAGAAAAAGGGAAGAAAGATTTTCAACTAAAGGAGGAGAGTTAATAAGACGAAATGCCTTTGATTCCACCCTATCTAACAGTTGGACAGAAGAAGAGCCACCCCAGATATGAGAGCAGTACTCCAAGTTAGAACGAATGAAACCCTTATATACTTGAAGCAACTGCTCCGGAGTGAAGTAGCTACGGCATCTGTACAGCGGCTTTAGCAATGTTGAGGATGTGTGGCTTCCATGACATACTAGAGGAAATGGTGAGGCCTAGCATATCTATTTTAGAATTTGGCAGAATGATAAGCGTCCTGAAATGTAATTGGTGGGAGATCATCTCATACAGAAAGTGTAATTGGTAAATACTGAGTTTTATCTATTGAATTAAACAAGTTTCTACCTCCCCATTCGGAGATGCTGCACAGATCCGCATTGATAGATGTAATGGTATCAGCTCTAGAAACAGATCTAGTTTGAGAGTTAGAAGGAAGGGGAAAATGTGAAGAAGAATGAAGAGTAGAATCATCAGCGTAAGAATGGATAGAATTAGTTGTAGTGTGAAGAAAATCATTGATAAAAAGAAGGAAGAGAGTTGGTGAAAGAATAGAACCCTGTGGGACACCACTATTGGTAGAGAAAGAGCGAGAGATCGATCCCTCGACAACAACTGCCATGGATCGGTTTTCAAGGAAGCTAGAGATTAGAAAACAAAGTGGGGGAGAGAAACCATAAGAGGGAAGTTTGGAAAGCAAAGACTTGTGCTATACCCTGTCAAATGCTTTGGAGATGTCGAGGGCCACGACGAAAGTTTCCCCATAATCCCTAAGAGAGGATGACCAAAGATGGGTGCAGTAGGAGAGCAGATCACCAGTAGATCTCGCCTGGCGAAAGTCATACTGGTGATCCGACAAAAGAGAATGGCGTTCAAGGTGGCGGAGAAAATGGCCAAAGTTTAATCTGTAAGTCTAATCTGTTGGCAAAGGTCTAATCTGTAAGTCTAATCTGTTGACAAAGCTTTAATCTGTAAGTCTAATCTGTTGGCAAAGGTTCAAAATAAGTCTAATCCGTAAACCTAATCTGTGTATGTTTATTTAGTATATATAAATGATTCACCTGCTCTGATGTTTTATTTTGCTGATAACTAATCAAAACAAAATCCAATCTGACAGGTGTTCTCAGTAAGTCGGCTGAACTGAAGAGTCTAACTGGCAACTGAACTAACCTGACTTGACTGTATTACTGCTCACTGCCCTAATCTTTTTGACTCTAAACTATAAACTATGTGCGCATCGTTGTTTATTTGTGTGTATTGCTGTTTGTGTGTGTATGTGTGTACTACTCTATTTAAGTGTGTATACTATGTGTGTGTACTATTGTATGTGTTCTCTCGCCGTAGAGCGCCTGACCTCCCCCCGCCCCCACGGAGGTCATACAAGACTTCCCTAACATCTAATAAGTCTCACCAACTTCTATAGCTAGACTCCCCCCCCCATGAAGGCTCCTATAAGAAGTAGGCTTCAAGGGGTGTGTTCTCAGTTCTTGTCAGACGACATGTTGTGAAAGGTCTTGTGCTCGTCGTCTTCCTCAAGGACTCTTCAACACCAAACATACTCAAAACTTTTCTATTTTTAAGTTTTTTGGAATACCTTATTTTAACTCTTACCGCCACAATTTCTGGGTAAAAAGCTAAAATTTCCCTCATGAGCTCAAGTTAAAGATGACGTTAAAACACTAAAGAGAGAGAGAGAGAGAGAGAGAGAGAGAGAGAGAGAGAGAGAGAGAGAGAGAGAGACTTCTTCACTAAGGCAACAAGAGGGTTCAGCTTCAAGATGGACTCAACGCTCCGCCCACAAACTTCTCAATCTTGCCCCCCAAGTTGGTCCACATTTCCTTGATTTTTATCTCAGAGAAATCTTTACTGGCAACAATTGCATGTGTACTTTCTACAGCACCCACCAGCCGAGTACCTCAACAAAGTACCCAGCAGCCGAGTACCCCAACACGGTACCCAGCAGCCGAGTACCCCGACAAAGTACCAAGCAGCCGAGTACTAACACAGCGCAGCGACCGAATACCCCAACACAGTGCCCAGCCGGGTGCCCCAACACCGTACCCAGCAGCCGAGTACCTTAACACAGCACCAACGGCCAGTACTTTAACTGACACCTTGACAAAATTACCCCAACCCCATTGCCAGCAGCCGGTGCCCTTAACACAGCACCCAGCGGCCGAATACCCCAACACGGTGCCCAGCAGCCAGTACCCCCTTTGTGCCCAGCAGGTACCTTAACAGCACCAGCAGCTGAATACTAATACAGCGCAATGACCGAGTACCCCCACTTCAGTGCTGGCAATTACTGTACAGTGCCAACAGCCAGGTGTAACACAGCACCAGCAATGAGTGCCCCCAACACAGCACCAGCAATGGTACAACACAGTGCCAACAGCCAGTGCCCCAACACAGTGCCCAGCGGCTGGGTACTCCGACCTGATACCCTAACAATGATGCCCATCCACAGTCACCCAACAATGATGCCTTAACGGCACCAATGACCAGATACCCCAACACCGTGCCAACGGCCAGAGTACCCCAACACAGTACCCTGCTTGTTAGTGCCCCATCCACGTGCCCAACAATGAGTGCCCCAACACAGTGCCAGCAGCTGAATACCCCAACACAGTGCCCAACGGCCAGGTACTAGCACAGTGCCAATGAATACCTGACCTGACCTGTGTCCAGGTGCCCCAACACGGTACCTAGCGTATTTTATCGTACCCAGCAGCCAGTACCCCCAACATTTTAAGCAGCCGAATACCCCAACACCGTACCCAGCAGCCGATACCCCAACACAGTACCCTATGTGACCGAGTGCCCCAACACAGTACCCATGACCAAAATTTTTTAACACAATACCCAGCAGCGCCGAGTACCCCATCACAGTACCCAGCAGCCGAGTACCCCATCACAGTACCCAGCAGCCGAGTACCCCATCACAGTACCCAGCAGCCGAGTACCCCAACACAGGGCTACGGTACTTGTCCAAATATCTTGTATCGACCGCTGTATGATGTACCAGATAACAACCTTACCTAACCTAACCTCAACCTAACCAAACGTAATATAATCTAATCTAACCTAACCTAACCTAACCTTACCCCAATAAACATCACATTTCTCGTTATTGGATCACGCGGAAATGTGGAGCTGGAGGACTTAGAGACTGACGTGAGAGAGGAGTGAAAGGTGACAAGGATAAAAAAAAATATGGTAGAGGAGGAGAGGGGAGAGACTAACAGCTGATAATGGAGAGCTGACGACGAACATCAAGGGGTATTTAATGACTCGCGCTCTTATTGGTTAGCTGTCCTTTACAAGTCCTTGACGTCATACTCTTCTTTCGAGTCATTGGCTACTGTTAACTGTGACGACATGAGAGGAGTTCTTCTATTGGCTATTATCATCAAAGAATCTCCACCATTGGTTACTGGCATTTATGATATCTCCACCATAAGCGTCGGTTTCTCCACCATTCTCCAACAGTTTTAAGAGTGACGAGGTTAAGTATTTAACAGTTAACTTCTGACTGTTGATTCCAATATATTATCAGTAATTATAAACAGTAATTATATTTGTCTCGCTGTGTACCTCTCATCAGGGCGACTCAATTAATTAGCTAAGCTCACTCTCTTAATTAGTATTAACTGAAACATAATTCGTAAAGGTTTGTGTTCTCGGTGTATCATTAAAATAACAATTTATGGAGCTCATCTGTCAAGAATAGGGTAACCAATAACAGACGAGATAATGACGTCAACATGAATGGGTAGCCAATGGCAGACAAGATAATGACGTCAACATGAATGGGTAACCAATGACAAGACAGTGACGTCAACAAGAACGGGTAACCAATGACAGACTAGATAATGACGTCAACATGAATGGATAACGAATGACAAACAAGACAGTGACGTCAACATGAACGTGTAACCAATGACATACAAGACTGCAAGTGACGTCAATAAAACCAGTATAAACTACGATACATTAACCATTATCTATAAAAAAAAACTCCATCCAGGGGCTAAAATCAACACGATTATAATATAACCTTAAATTAATTCTCCGTTATAAAAAAAATGGTGAGAGGAAGTGAAAATAAATCATTAATAAGTAAATGTTGTGATATCAGTAGCCAGGTATACAACACACTATAATGCCTCGCTCTGACCACTATAATGCCTCGCTCCGACCGCTATAATGCCTCGCTCTGACCACTATAATGCCTCGCTCTGACCACTATAATGCCTCGCTCTGACCACTATAATGCCTCGCTCTGACCACTATAATGCCTCGCTCCGACCGCTATAATGCCTCGCTCTGACCACTATAATGCCTCGCTCTGACCACTATAATGCCTCGCTCTGACCACTATAATGCCTCGCTCTGACCACTATAATGCCTCGCTCTGACCACTATAATGCCTCGCTCTGACCACTATAATGCCTCGCTCTGACCACTATAATGCCTTGCTCTGGCCCTCTTTGAAGTACAGTCCCCTTCACTAGTGCGTTTACAGGGGCTCGTTAGGTTTTTTGCAGAGTGGCAGCCCAGTGTTTGTTTACATTCGACAGAAGGAAACTCGCAATAGAAAACATACTATGGAATCAAATTAAAACAATATTAAAACAAATACCTCAAAGATAATGATTGGTGGAATGTTTATATGACGAGCCCCTGTAAACACACTAGTGAGGGAGACTGTACAATAACAGGCCTTCGCTTTCTGGTGCCAAGGTCAGAACACACCACACAAGGCTCGGCTCGTGCATCCCGGCTGGTTTCTCCCTCACGCTGCGTTCTTGTTGTGTGTGTGTGTGTGTGTGTGTGTAACAGTACTTCGGGTATCCCATGTAAGATATGAATTCCTACTTTTCTATAGTATAATTCAAGCAGGGAAGTTTTCTAAAACACTCACCCAATCTTGACTACCATACCACCCAATCACACTATGCCCCCCACACTACGAACTCACAACCACCTCAACACTGACACACTATCACACGACTCCTGCCTGAGGCCGCCGGACAGAGCGAGTCTTGACACATTCCTGCAGCCATTGCACCAACATTCCCGGGCGAGACACGAGCTGCCTGCACACACACACACACACACACACACACACACATCACGCGGGTGACGCAACTCTCGTGAACCACGCCGGGAATGTCAACAAACTCAGTCAGCTGACCAGAATATGTCTCAACAGGTGAGGTAATCTGCTTGTCACACACCACCACCAACTGTGTACGTGTGATGTGTGTCCACTACACCACCAGAACATTCCACCAGCATCATCCACAACATTCCACCCACCTTCTGTTTGCTCCACATTACTCTAATCCCGTCCACAGTACTCCAATTGTTATCAGTTTCCTCACACAATAAACCACTCCACATTCCTCCACAACACGCAATTTTCCTCCACTTGCCTCCACTCAGCCACTCTATAACCCTGGTCCTGACTTTACCGAGTCATGAACCAGCACACACTGACTCACCTACACATACCTGAGTCACTAGTAGTTTATGACTCAAGTATAAGATAATACTAGAAACAGGTGTGTGACTCAGGTGCATGGTGGCTAGTAACAGGTGTGTGACTCATATACTGTACTAGTGTAAAATACTATAACATATCTTTCATTACTCGTATATGGATGTATTGATGACGATAAACTAAGAGGAACAAATTACCAAACACCATCATTAATACAACACGCTGGGAAGCTTCAAATATAGGTTAAAAAGATATGCGAGTGACGTGGGCTGGCTGTAAACGGGACTGCCTGTATATGGGTCAGTAGGCCAGTTGCAGTTACCTCCATTCTTACGTTCTTTTATTCATGTCTTTTATTATTATTATTTTAAAGGATATTTTTTTATCTACCGATTTCCTGATATATTACTTATCATGTCTCCTCCACATGACTGAGACAACATTACTATTTACCCGCCAAACATCTCCATTTCATCCTCGGCGACACTGTTACCAAAATAAAGAACATTACTTGAACCATTTATCTTTTAAAAGTCCTAAGACAGATAGTGTTGCCAATAAAACGACTCTTGTAGAATAAATGGGGGTTACTCTCTGATACCGCCTGAGTGATGCCCCAGGATTCCTCAGTGTTGTTTTGAGCACCACACGAGTCACTCTCTTAGCCTCACCTGTCATCCATTAATCTCTACCTGTCTACCTGCCTCACGGACACACCTTCAATACCCTACTCGTCAGACCTGTGTCCTTATGGCTGTTGTACTATAATATTCACAAACCTTAAAAGTAACCTGTACTTGACGTGGCTGACCTGCTGACATCACACTATCTACTCTAACGTCATTCTTTCACTGCCAATCACAACACGTCTAACCTTAAACTTATCACTGACGTCATTCTTTCACTGCCAATCACAACGTCTAAATGTAAACTTATAACTGACGTCATTCTTTCACTGCCAATCACAACACGTCTAAATGTAAACTTATCACTGACGTCATTCTTTCACTGACAATCACAAGCCACTCCAATCAACGTCTAAATAACCTATCAATGACGTCATTATTTCACTGCCAATCACCAACACGTAAAAAAAAAATTCTCAATGACGACGACACACTTTCACAGCCAATCACAAGACGTCAACGACTGTCAACCAATCAACATCTGCCTCAAATACCCAATGACATTCTCCCAAAAACTTAATGACTACTGTAATTAGTTTCCCGGTCACCAAAAGCATCATAAATAAATAAATAAAATAAATAAATAATAATGAACGAATTCAAACGTACTTAACGAACTTTTAACGACAACTTACACCACTAAATATATATTTCTTTAACACCTTAACCAGCTTAGACATTGGAATGAACACAATAATGCTCTCTCTCTCTCTCTCTCTCTCTCTCTCTCTCTCTCTCTCTCTCTCTCTCTCTCTCTCAGAAGAAAAGCTTTTACTCCTACGCTTGAAAGTCATCCTGGAGTTTTAGTTTACCTGGCACCCGTCACTAGTACCTGGTATCCTTCCCTGGTATTTGGTACAGTCCCATGATACCAGCTATGCTCCTCCAAGTACTTAGTGTTATCCTCTCGTACCTGGTTTATGCTCCTAGTATCTGGTATATGCTCCTAATGCCTTGAATCTATCCCTAGTACCTGGTATCAAAACTTAAATCTCACAGTCGAGAGTTTATACAAGTTGTTTTGGTAAGTCGTGTAGGAAGGACTAAACGGTGGACTCCCCCCCCCCCTCCTTCATCCTGTGGCCGACTTGATCCTCTGAGCCGCCTGTCGAGAAGGCATCCACGCCGAGTCTTAACAGAATCCAATTCCAGTCAGCGGTGCTGTTTATCAGTGTGCCATGGTGGGAAGAGGGGGGGGGGAGCCTCGTTTCCTCTAGCGGGGTTTTTTCTCTGTCGATCTGGTTGTAGATACGAGAGAGTTGAAAATACGAGGTTAGTTTTCTGAAGTTTCCCAACGCTGAATAAAATCGTCAGCCAGCATAAAATGATAAAGTGGCCAACATAACCGTAACTCCCATCACCTCCTCGTCAGTGGGTGATCCATCTCACTCTCCTGGTGTTCATGATATGTTTCCTCCCTTCATAACTTTCCCGCAAACTAATATAAGTAAATGACTGAATTAAATTGACCACTTATCTGAATCGCTTATTATCCTCAGCCAGGTACAGGTATAAATATATAAGCCAATAAATAGTCTCCCACTCCACGGACTAAGATCCTCACAGCCTCTGCCCGGAGGAGACGATTTAATTCACTTTGGCGATGCTCAGCTGTTTCCTGGTGTAGGTTGTGATCCCACGGGCCAGCGACTCCACCTCACGCTCACTGACTCTCAAGATGTTATCGCGGCTGCTGACAGCGGCCCACCAGTCTCGGAGGCTCTTACGTCACACTCTACCAATAACTGGATATCAACGGCTGGAACACATGTTACGGAGTGAATTAAGTTACTTTACAAAGACCCCCGTGAAAATCTTGCTTTAAAAATCCAGAAAGTTGCCAATAATAATGTTTGAGGAAGGACTGGTGCCTGGCCTCGCTCACCACCACCACCTCCCTCACCACCACCATCATCACCACCACACATACTGTACCGGTGGAGAGCCTGAACCTGTGTGTCGCTGAGTGTAACTGTGTAGTGATGACTTGTGGTTCACTGCCTGAAATCTCTCGCCTAACCTAACCCAACCCATTCTGTTTATCTATCATCTTTCTTTCAATCCATATATTGCGCGGGGATGAACCGAGGGAAAGCTTGATGGTACCTGAAGAGTGAGGCGGCGGTGACGGGAGGGGGAGAGTGAGGCGAGACAAGTGTAGAAACTGACAGGAAGGAGAGAGGCTAATGGTAAGGGTGAGTGAAGCAAGACAGGAAAAGACAGACTAGTGAAACAACAACAACAACAACAACAACAACAACAACCCCCCCACACACACACAGTGCCTGAATTCCGTATCTCAAATTCATCATCACAAACTGCCTCCACCAAAGGATTTTCGTTGACTGTAGAGAGAAAGTGAAGAGAAGCGAGAATACATGGAAGGAATTAAGTGGAGGGGAGAATGGTGTGTGTGTGTGTGTGTGTGTGTGTGGGGAGAAAGAAAGTGCTCCCTGCTGTGTGTGTGGATGTATGGAGAGGCTAATAAAACGATAATATATTCAGCTGAGCCAAAGGTTTACCACAGAGGGAACGACTGACCAAGAAAAAACCCGGAGAAATCGTTTAATCTTTTTGTTTACTATAGCAGTGAAGAACTGAGGCGACGGACGAAGACTATCAACAAGATGTGGAGTTAAGTGTGACGTTATTGTGTTCAAAAGGTCACGTGAAACACAAGTACATGGTGTCAGTAAAGGTGGCCCCCCCCCCCCGCGCGCCACAACTGGACAACAATGACACAATAAACATCAGGTGATCTTAACTGTACAATAATGATAAACTAAAGTCCAAAAGTTCATAATTCTGTACAAAACAAAACAAAAACAATCCCTGCCTGTCTTCAATGATGTACTACACACACACACACACGCGTCTCACTTGTCAATCACTGTGTGGGAAGAACTGACAGACAATTCGAGATTCACCTCCACGAGACACTGTACCATGCTGGGCCGTAAGGGGACACTGTTCAGCACGTGGCCTCCATATAAATAGAGACGCAGACCTCGCCACACTACCTCCCACCTGTGAAGACCAGGAGCCCTCTACACCAATTACATCCCACCGTGCAGCAGGACACACACCACCGCCTCCTCCTCTACTTATAGGAAGCTCCGGGTATGTGATGTACTATCATACATATGTGATAGTGTGTTATGTGTAAATTATGTATATGTTGCCGATATTCCCTGATAAGATAATGAAACAACTCACTCTCACTGCCCTCTCACCTTCTCGTCCACTGTTCAGGTATTAGTGGTTAATTATTTCAACTCTTTTTTTCTTCTTGTTTCCAATTTTAATCATGTAATCATACTCATGTAAACTTCGATCTGTAATGATGTGGTTCAACTCCTTCTCTCTCATCTTAACCTTTACTGTAAGTGTAAGGTTAAGTATATTATGGGACACACCAGACGATGAGAGTTTAAGGCTGGGAGGTGGAGTTTGATCCCCTTACTGGAGCTCAGAACACTATTACGGTGCCCAGCTGGTCCCCCCACCCACCCACCTCCAAGACATCGAAATGGCAGACACTACAACATAACTCGAGTCATCCTCTTGTCTCCAGCGAAATAAATGAGAGTATGAATTCATGAGCGTCCCAACCCTTTGATCTCCACACTAAAGAAGTACAACTTACATCACAAATGACTTATCCACCGCTGACATGTTGAAGTGACAAGTGACAACTAAAGCTGGCAGGGGAAAGTAAAGAGATTTCATTTGTTGTGGAAGGCATGAAGGAATGAACACACAAACACACACACACACATCCTTGACCACCGAAGGGTCAAGACGTACCTGGCGCTCCTCTCGGAGCAGCCAGGTCAACTGTTAAGTTGGCCCATACCAACCCCCTCCCCTGAACCCTCCTCCCCACCGGAATATCAACAAGTTCTCGCCAGAAGTTACAATTTCATTTAGGAAAGGAACGGAACCAGTGTTAAACCGAGGTGAACAGTGGTGAACAGTGCTTAAGTCAGTGAGAACAACTCAACAGTAACAGTCACACCCAAGTTAACCTTCACACAGTGAGGTCCCAGGTACCCAGTGATAACGGCCCCCGCGAGACCCAACAACAACCACCGATGTGTTAATCCGTCTACGATAGGAAGGCCTGGGACCAAACCTCACTCATATAACACCATCTGTGAGGGAATTACTACACCACATGTCCCTCATAACACCATATGTGAGGGAATTACTACACCACGTCAAGTCCCATCACACCATCTGTGAGGGAATTACTACACCACGTGAGGTCCCTCATAACACCATCTGTGAGGGAATTACTGCACCACGTCAGGCCCTCATAACACCATCTGTGAGGGAATTACTACACCACGTGATGCCCCTCATAACACCATCTGTGAGGGAGTTACTACACCACGTGAGGCCCCTCATAACACCATCTGTGAGGTAATTACTACACCACGTGAGGTCCCTCATAACACCATCTGTGAGGTAATTACTACACCACGTGAGTCCTCATAACACCATCTGTGAGGGAATTACTACACCACGTGAGGCCCCTCATAACACCATCAGCGAGGGAATTACTACACCACGCCAGGTCCCTCATAACAACATCTGAGGGAACTACTACACCACGTGAGTTCCTCCTAACACCATCTGGGAGGGAGTTACTACACTACGAGTTTGCTGTTCAACACCTACATTAATCTGTATGTTCACTGTATGTTCCTTCACCTTTCTCTAATGAAGGCTTTTGTTAAACCACCAATGTATGTAATAAGTCATTTATGTCCAATGTATATTTTCAGCCTTCGGGCTGCAGAATTTTTTCAATAAACCGTTAATTATTATTATTATTATTATTATTATTACACACACACACACACACACACACACACACCCTAAACATCACAACCTCCATAACTTCCTAACATAAAGAGTGACAAAGAACAAGTCACTAACTGTATTAAGCCGCTGTTTAATACCATCCCTCATATGCAAAAGACATTATCAGTTAAGTCAGATAAAACGTAGAAAAAACGTGAAAAAAAAAACACTTGAGGGACTCGTGATTCACCTAGATTAACGCCTCGAAACACCAGACCATTTTACAAAGCTGAGTCACCCGGTACAGTCAGTCAGTCACCATGAACGACTGTGCATCATGGGGCTGGTTGATACCGTTGTCACCCTCACCCCTCCTCTTCACTCACCACGGGACTGTTAACGCTGGATAGAACTTCATTTTCCTTGTAGTGTAACCTGACTGATACTCCAAAAATAATGGGAAGAGGATGGCTGACAACACCGAGTGACTGATAACAAAGAGTGGCTGACAACACCGAGTGGCTGACAACACCGAGTGGCTGACAACACCGAGTGGCTGACAACACAGAGAGAGCGGCTGACAAAATAAAGAAAGACAAAATGCTGATAACATAAGGTACAGATTGATAAAGGCTGACAATCCCAACTTAAAGGAGCTGACAGGCTGACGATTCCAGCTTAAAACAGGACAGCTGGACAGTCACAAATACAGGGAAGGAAAAGTTGAGTAATCCAAAAATAAACACGGATGCTGACGGATGGAGAGGGGATGAGAAGGCTAGTAGAGAGGGGATGAGTGGGACAGGTGGAGAGGAATATGCAAGGAGTGGATGATATGAGGGGTGGTGGAGAGGGGTAAGAGTGGTGAAGAAGGATATGAGAGATGTTGGAGTGGGATATGAGGAGTGTTGGAGAGGGGTATGAGAGGTGATGGAGAGAATCTATTGAATATATCGATCCAGGGTAAACTTGTTGTGTTGCTGACTCACACCACCACTGGATGGATCAATATTTTGCAATCTCTCTCTCTCTCTCTCTCTCTCTCTCTCTCTCTCTCTCTCTCTCTCTCTCTCTCTCTCTCTCTCTCTCAATATACCTTCCCTGGTGCTGTTATGGAAAGGTATACCACGTGCTACAGGTGTTAACATATTAATCAAACACCTAAACGATGAGTCACCTGAAGATTAGCCCCATCCATTCATCGTAACACCCATTCAACCACCAATTAACTCACTCACTCACCCACCTATGCACTCTAATAAACCTAGCCTCCCAAGGTAAACATTTGGGTGAGTAATCATCGAATGAAATAAGCTGGAAATTGGGGAGAGAACTAATCTACATTGTTCCCAAAATACACTAGTAAAGTTTCTTTATTCTCTCGTTGAATAATATATATATATATATATATATATATATATATATATATATATATATATATATATATATATATATATATACTCTCTCTCTATATACAAATAAATCCTTCATAGTGCGCGTGATCTAGGTATATGCTGATAACTTTAAGGAAAGAAAGAAACACGAAATTCCCAAGCGCTTTCGTGTAATTCACATCTTTCAGGGGTGAGCCGCCACCCTGAAGATGTGAGTACAAGCTCTCTTATATATATATAGGTTGGTACCCGACACCTCATGACATAATGGCCTGCCTGTGTAAACATGACAGTCGTGTAACAGTAAAACACTATAACAGTATTTTAATTTTTTCGCCATTTTTTTTATTTGGCGAATGTAAACTCAATTTATTTCAGGTGACAGTTTTACGACAATATGTATCTAATAAGGACAGCGGGGAAGATAAGAGCGTAAAGCTGCCGCCTCTCAAGAGATTCCCGACTAAAAGAGCCGACACTTTGCTGCGCGCTGCCTTCACATTTCATTCACATAATTCTAAATGAGGCGCTATAGTGGTGCTGTAGTAGTTGTTATATTATTAAAGAAGCTCATTTGTC